AAGAAAGGAACGGGATGCAAGGCACGGGGAACCATCATGGGCCGGGAGCTCCCCAACAGGGCGTGTGCATCATGCAGCCTCATACTCGGCCTCACTCCAGACTTCAAATGCCCCAGATGACGCATACCTGTGTGAAAGCAACCTTCTCACAGAATCTGGTCCGATTTCTAGCCGTGGCTTGTGCCCATGAGATGTCTGGGCTTCATGTCTGAAGGTGTCGCTTTGGAAACTTTCAAGCTTATAGCCGGTGGTGCGCTCCATCAACTTGGCGATGTCGTTTTTCCAGTGGTTTCCGCCGCTTTAAAATGGTCTTTAGCCTTCGCGTCCGACCCTTGCTTGCTGTCGAGCGGAGAGGGGCTGTGGCGCTTGCTGAAGTATGGCATTGAAAGGCAGAGATCAACTTCGAGACGGGCGATGATGACTTGAGGTGTGCTTCACCTTGTCACAGTTCAGCCCGGCACTCTCCCGCGATGTGACGCCGCGCCTCATATGCCACAAAAGAGACCTAAGAAGGGATCAGGAAAGGACGCTAGGCAAGAAAAGGTGCAGCACTCTCAAGAAGGCAACCCGGGAAACTTCCAAAAAGAGATGAAGTTCCCGCTTCGTGTCATTTCAGGCTGGGCGCAGCCTGCACGTCTCTCTGTCGCTGCTTGGCAAAGAGTTCCGGGCCACAAGATGTGACAAAGCGCCAGCTGCCAGTTCGATGCACAATGTCGCGCTGCTCAGCACACGGTGAAACAAATGCGAGGTCACCTGAAGCAGCGGCACCCACATGAGAAGAAAACATCGTGGTCCTGTAGATCCATGGTCCTTGCATTAGATTCGGTGGCACGCGAAGTGGCGCGAAGTGTGTTGGGTGCTTGTCGAACACCTGTTGAAGCACTGAGCCACGCCAGGAAATATGCTGACGTGGGCAAATGCGGGCGTCAACTTTGTGGGGTCCTTCCCCGGTGCAGCCGAAGAAAGGAAAGGGGATGCTGGGATTCGAACACTTTGGAACATTTGGGCTGCACTGTACAAGGCGTCACAGGGTGCTTTTAGGTGTGCAAGGCACAGGGAACCATCATGGGCCGGATGCTCCCCAACAGGGAGTGTGCATCATGCATCCTCATGCGCCCAACGACTTAAGACACTCCGGACGCTTGGTTAACCTTGCTTTTGGTCCCCGGAGACCACAGCACTGGCTCCACACCACGATGCTGCGTCAAAGTCGCTGCGTCAATGACACATGCGAGAGCTTCATTCTTATTTGGCCTCACTCCCGACTTCAAATGCCCCAGACGACGCAAAAATCTGTGAAAGCAACCTTCTCAGAGAGTCTGGTCTGGACGACTCTAGCCGTGGCTTGTGTCATCCATGCCCACTGTTTCTGACTACTCAAGACATTCCTGCGGTATGCATCACACATTGTCATTCATTCTCGCTCGCCCAAAGACGTACGACTTACTGTTCGCATTACGGTGCATTCACATGCTCCGTGGGCCAGGGCTGCTCCTGGGTTTCAGTGGTGATACTGCACGTGGTGGTCGTTCAAAATTCCTTCTCTGGGAAATGGCCAAGCGGAGCCTACCTGCCGATATGGCATTGTAAGACAGACACGGCGGTGTGCCGCGTGCCAGAACCCCTGGTTGTCGCCGGCCGTGCGCGCACACATCTGTTGCACCCTCTGTTGCAGACCTCTGCAACGTCCATCTTGATACAGATCTGTGTCCCCCGCGCATACACGACTGGAAGCCACAATGGGGGCTTGCAAAACAAGGCAGCAAGCAGGTCTGTCCATCTGTCGGTCCGTCGCAAAACTGCGGGCAGTGACACATCCCCTATGTAACGGGGTACGTCGCGCGTGCTTGGCGCGGCCCTGTTACAAGCAACTAACATTGGCAAGCGGCCCATGTCAACTCCGAGACGCAGGATAAGGACTGGAGGTCTGGCTCACCTTGTCACAGTTCAGCTCGGTACTCCCGCGATACAATGTGAAATCGGCAAGAGGAATTTAAGAGATGGGCAAACTTGAGCAGCTGGTAGATATCGGAAGTCAACGAGCTCGTCGAGAGGAAAGAAGGCAGATAGGGCGCGAAGGGCCAGGAATCGGAGACAACTGGATGAAGGGCGTCGGGGAGCCGATCTGGGTGCCGGACAGCCCCTCGCGAGGATCAAAAAAGCGAAATGCCTCCCAATGAGAAGAAAGCGATGTCGCTCTTGTCGAAGAGATAGAGCGGGGTGGGCTGATGGTTCCGAGCCTACTGCTAGTGTCAGCGCCCCTTTGCGCCGGATGCTTTGTGGAGAAACGCGTCACCAACGTCGAAGCGCTCATACGCAAAGGATATCGGGTCCGTGATGAAGAGTATGGCGATGGCTTGGCTGCTGACGTCGTCTTTGACCAAGATTCTGCACAACTTGGGCACATTCCGTGGGCTACTGCCTGGAAAGCAGCCCTGAGATTGCGCGAGTGCTCTCGCACGACATTCGCGGAACTTTCGCACGACTTCTCCACGAAAAGGCCACGCGACCACGCTTTTGGCTTGGAGGGTGAACAGGCTTGTAAGGTAGGCTTGACGGTTCAAAAGTGGGAATCGCGGGGGGTTTTCGGAGTTTTCGGACGAAAAGAGCTGCGCTTAGATCACACAGGCCTCGGCGGAATCTTCGACGTCTTCACAGGCCTCCTACCACTCCCACTCCAGCACCCGGCAACATCAGAGCTTGCGCGGCAGGAGACAAGCCCATCATGCTGCTGGTCATTGAGAAGGTCGACAAGGTCACCTAAAGTATACTAGTAGCTTGGAGGTCTGTGCCAACTTGCGTACACTTTCCCCAAGTGACCGAAGGCCAATCTTGCAAAAAACATGAGAAGCTTACCTCACCCGGAGCAGGCCACAAGGTGCGTTTATGTGGTCAAGGTTTCCACAACACATGTGGGCTTCAGAGCTTTTTGAGACAGCACCCGCAATTCAATCGTGCGGGGACAGACCTTTGAATAACCGCGGAAGACGCGTCTGACACGGATCCGTGGAACAACCCTCATGTGCCGGCGGCGCACTCCTTGGCAGGCGTACAGGGCTGCAGAGTCAAAGCTGCGCTACGACAGATGCACAGGTCTCGCCGTGCGAAGCAAGCATCATGCACCAACGCTTTCGAAGGAGACTGGCAACTGAAGCAAAAGGGGCGTTGCACGACAAGCCGCATGGGTTTAAGATTAAGATTTGCAGCTAATGGTTCACTGGCCCAAAAGCCTCCGAGGACTGCACGTGCTCAGACTCTGTCATGGCCATGCACGCAGGCAGAGGTGCAAGTGCAGTATCTGGCCCGCAAGCGGCATGTTCACCGTCATCATCTTGTCTAGAGCTGAAGCCTGACAGGTCAGCGATGACAAGCCAAAACTGTCGCACGATGTCAGAGAAAGCAGCTTGTTACGCAATTCTATGTTATCGAAGTGTATGGAACCATTCTGGAATCCGGAACACTCAGGTTTGGGTTTCTACATGGAACAGCTATGTCTGAATTGAAAGAAGCAGGGGGCATTATGTGACCCCTAGGTTCTTTGAAATGCCGTCCCGCCTGCGCAGCTTTCGGCGCGAACCAGCAGCTAAGTCGATCAAGATTTTGAACCCAAAAGCTACCCATGCAGAAATTTAGGGTTTACGTTCAGGGTTTAGGGTTTAGGGTTTAGGGTTTTGGGTTTTGGGTTTTGGGGACCCTAGGGCTGAGGGTTTAGGGTTTAGGCTTTAAGGTTTAGGGTTTAGGGCTTAGGGTTTAGGGCTTAGGGTTTAGGGTATAGGTTTCCATGATGGCTAGATTGCATTCCACAACTTTGTACAGTCATCACACGCAGCTCTCGATTTGAAGGAGTGCACAACGCTCTTGAAACAGTCTCAGCAAACACAATAGCAACCCCCAGACATCAAACTCATTGGGCAATCAGGCCGCACTGTTCATACGTTTGCCGGACAGCTTCCACGATGCCCAGCTCTGTAGCTCATGGTGCGCTTGTGAAGGTGCATTTCAGGCATTTGGCCCACGAAAACAAAACGTCAACCGTATAGTTTCGACACCCAGCTGTTCCTGGAACCACCGCCCGGGACAAGCATCAGACACTTCACATGAGCAGGCCACAAGCCTCTGACCGAAAGATTCCCGAGCGCATGACAGCGTTCCAAGCCACAGAAACCCGTCCAGAAGAAAACCCTACAAGGGCAAAGGGCGACAAGCTTTTGATTGCTCAAGCCAAACATTTGCCATTCTTGTGACAATCCAAGCAGCATATCCCAGAAATGGAGAGACTCTCCGGAGTAGTCGAGACCAGTGTCAACACTTTCAAGACAGCAGTAACAAGCCATACTTGCGCAACGGTTTACACCAAATTTCACCAGCGAAGACCTCAAACAGTGAAGAGCGGAATGGCATACAGACTACAGTAGCGCAAACCAGCTTTCCCCCCAAGGGTAAGGGCTCAGGCAAACGCATGGAGCCACAGATGCGGGCTCGAGCGTTTTCAACTAGCACCCTGCTTTGGGGGAAACCAGTGTGTTCAAGTACAGTAGACCCTAGCTAGGTTCGCCGCTGGGTCTCCGCTGCGCATCTTAGGCAGAAGCAGCGCTTTCGCAGCCCCACGGCGGAAAACCCGGACGAGCTTCTAGGAGGATCCGTGGTTGCAGGCAGTCGTTTTGTGCTCGCGAGCATCGGTTGACAGCAGGGATTTCACTTGCAAAACACGCCATCTGCGTCGAATTAACATAGACGCCAAGAAGCTCACACTGGCTTTCACACCCCGGAGAGCACTTCTGGCAAAACTGCTGCATGTACTCAGGCCACCCACCGTACCTAAGTCTCGTCTCTCAATGTCTCTGCACAGCACGCAACCTCAATCAGCACCAGTGAGCTCGATAACAATGGCCCAGTCACAGCTGAAGGCGAGCAGACCCAGGGCAGTATGAGGAAGCCCTAGATGTCCATCTCACATCGAAAGAAAACGCTGCGACAGTACATGTAGGGCGAAAGCTTCCTCACATTGCACTCTGGCTCAAGTCCTGAGCGCAGTTTCATGATGCTTCTATGTCTGGCTCAGCACACGTCACGTTCAAAAAAGCGTGGTTCAAAACGAGACAAGCTGACAGCTGTGACTAAATGATGGAGCGCCTGATCATCCAGAATCTGCACCAGCCTTGTATCATTCAGCTCCTCGTGGACAAAGACATTGCCATCACATGCTTCCAAATGTGATATGTTGACTCTGGCTGAAACTAATGATGCCTGCATTCAACTTGAAATTGTCAACCCTAAACCTAAACCCTAAACCCTAAACCCTAACCCTAAACCCTAAACCCTAAACCCTAAACCCTAAACAAATAAATCTGCAGATACCAGGCATCTCAGCTCTCTGAAGGATGGTCCCCTTTTGGGAATCCCTATTATACGAAGGGTCCCTAGAATTTAAAGTACCCCAAAATAGGGTTTCGGGTTTGGGGTTCAGGGTTTCGGGTTTCGGGTCTAGGGTTTTTCGGTTTCGGGTTTAGGGTTTTGGGTTTCCGAAATGAGGGGTACCTTCTTGGGGTCCCGATTATGGGGGGATCCTACTACTTCTGGATCTGCATTGGGGGTCCCCTCTTTTCGTAACCCCCCATACCCTAAACCCTAAACCCTAAACCTTGATCACTCCGAGTCTCTCTCTGGACAATGGCGTTCCACACTTCCTGCATCCTCCGGAGCCATTCAGTGCGCTTCAAGATCACGGCAATGGGTTTGGGGTTTAGGGTTTAGGGATTAGGGTTTAGGGTTTAGGGTTTAGGGTTTAGGGTCTAGGGTTTAGGGTTCAGGGGTACATGCTGCTTGCAGATCCTGAACAAGAACTCCAAACAGAACTTACGAAGCTAGCCCCTGGCGAAGGCTCCTTGTCGTTCTGTCCGTTTGATTCCGCTGCGCCTGCCAAGACCGAATCGATGAAAACGCCAGGTCCACAGGCGAAGAAACCCTAAACCCTAAACCTGAAACCCTAAACCTTAAACCCTAAACCTTAAAACCCTAAACCCTAAACCTCAAAACCCTAAACCCTAAAAACAACCTGTGGCCGGTTCAATGCCTCGGCATACTCCGGCTTGAATCGGGCGATGATCGCATCGTACTTGCGAACCTCCTGTCAGGTGTTCGCTGGCAAGCAACTCCGATGTTACACGTCCGGAGTGGGGCCTCCGTCAGATTTGCAGCTTGCACAGATGATGCATTGAGCTTCCTGCACACAAAAACTGGGAATTCTGGAACTGTTGGCCAAGCTCTCGAGATCACGTCAACCTTCACACAGGTTCCAAGATGGTCGTATGAGTGGCGGGCGAGAGCTGTTCAAGGGAAGCGTGCTTGTTCTCCTCCACAGGTTCTCGCGCGTGGGGAGGTTTCGGGTTTACGGTTTAAGGTTTAGGGTTTTGCTGCCATTGTGCAGCATGGCCTCAGCGGACATCACCTGCAGTTTGTCAGTCACGAAGCAGTCAGCCACATCCCTAAACCCTAAACCCTAAACCCTAAACCCTAAACCCTAAACCAAAATCCTGCGCTGCGCCTTCTCCTTAGCCTCCGCCGCTCGAAGCAGTGCTTCCCAGAACTCGTCTGCGAGATCCTTCCCAGAATAGGTTTAGGGTTTAGTGTTTAGGGTTTAGGCTTTAGGCTTTAGGGTTTAGGGTTTAGGGTTTAGGGTTTAGGGTTTAGGGTTTAGGGTTTAGGGTTTAGGGTTTAGGGTTTAGGGAAACAACACCTGACAGTCTCTCAGGGTCCCGCCTTCTCAGCGTTTATGTCCATCCTGTTCAACTCCAAGTCGAACAGCAAATTCTCAAAGTTGCCTTGCTAAGTTGCCACAAGCACAACAGGGGTTTAGGGTTTAGGGTTTAGGTTTTAGGGTTTAGGGTTTAGGGTTTAGGGTTTAGGGTTGAGGGTTGAGGGTTGAGGGTTTAGGGTTTAGGAATTAGGGTTTAGGGTTGAAGGGCAGAGGCAGGAACGGCTATTGTTTGTGCAAGTTGCGTAGGTCCGCCACCAGCTGCTTGGGCACACCTCCAGAACGGTTGGACAGGTTGGCGAAGTCGTCCTTTCATTTCGGGTTTAGGGTTTAGGGTTTAGGGTTTAGGGTTTAGGGTTTAGGGTTTGGGGTTTAGGGCTTAGGGCTTAGGGTTTAGGGTTTAGGGTTTAGGGCTCTCCTTGGGATGTTCCCCCCTACACGAACAATCCTTAGTAGGGATGATAATGGGTGGTACTATAATCCCGATTAAGGGCTGCTAGAACAAGGGGGGAACATCCCAAGGATCTCCTTCTATACGATCTCTTCTACCCCCCATAATTACGGCTAAGGGGCCGGGGGGGTAGTCTAGAGGGGGTAGTAGGGACCCTAAGCCCTAAACCCTAAACGCTAAACCCTAAACCCTAAACCCTAAAACCTAAACCCTAAAACCTAAACCCTAAACCCTCAACCCTCAACCCTCAACCCTAGGAAACCCATGATCCTTGTGCTCGTCGTGGATTCGTCGCCTGACTAAGTCCAGCAGCTCCTGCTCGAGCAGAGCACTCTCCTCACAGGTTGACGGAGGGGATGAAAAGCCCACACACGTGCTCCGCAGTACCGTTAAAACCCTACGAAAGCCCCATAATACCTTATTAAACCCCATGAAAGCACAAAAAAATGAATGTTACAGTGTGGGCTGTTGACATGGCATGTCCTGTTCATGTCCCTGGTCGTAAGCCGCTTTGAGTGCTTCGGCTGTTTCGGCCTGAGCTTCTGCTTCGGCCTGAGGTGTGCGCAAATGTTTTTCAAGCAAACATCGGATGCTTAAAAACATATCTAAAAATTGTAAGAGTTACGAGCTTTTTTTTAACAAAAACGAAGACTTTAGAAAAAGTATTCACCAATTCGGGCACGGACTGCCTCAGTGTCCGGCGTGGAGTCCAGTTTCAGCTTCATCTGGAGGAAGCTGGGGTCCTGAAGCGATGTGCTCTCTTCTCTCGAGCGAACTCCAGGATGCTGCAAAAGGAACGAGGGTTTAGTACCCAGGGTTTAGGGTTTAGGGTTTAGGGTTTAGGGTTTTGGGTTTAGGGTTTAGGGTTTAGGGTTTAGGGTTTAGGGTTTAGGGTTTAGGGTTTCGGGCTTAGGGTTTAGGGTTTCGGGTTTAGGGTTTAGCAGCAAACAGGCATCCTGGATGTGAACGGAGCCCTCGCTCGAGAGGCACCTTTCTTCGATATGGCTGCTGGCGCCGACCACTACCAGGCATAGCCCAATACCAGCACATCCTCGGGATAAAAAAAGAAAAGTTTCAAGCCGTGATGGCTCCAAGACTTGACTGACTGGTGCGACCTAAAGAAACTTCGATCTGCAGCAGGGATCCGCGATGACTCATCCATCTCATCTTTGCTGGTGCTCCCACATGAAACAACTAATCTATCAAACTTCTTGTATGAGCCAAGAACCCGAGCAGCAGCATCTCTACAGCTGCAACTAGAGTGGCTCAGACAGCACTAACACGTTCAACAAGTTCAAGCTGATGTGGAAGATGAATCAATGGGGTTGAGATTCCTTGTACACGTCTCAATATTTGACATGCACTTCGGTTCAGCAACGCTTGAGCCGCCAGCCCACAAACTAGAGGATTAGGGTTCAGGCGGGTTTAGGGTTTAGGGTTTGGGGTTTAAGGTTTGGGGTATAGGGTCTTGCATGCTCCGACAAAATCGGAAATGGAGAATCACTGCGGAGAGGTGAGAAGTGCGCAGGAGGAAGAACACGGCCGGACGCCTAGACAGGTCAAGGAACGTCTGACGGCGTCTGTCCTCAGCATATCCTCACACTAAGGCCGTTGAAAGTCTGAAACATACTAAACGCTAAACCCCAGACTATAAAGCCTAAAGCCCAAAGACTAAAGCCTATATAAACCCTAAACCCTAAAACCTAAACCCTATCCTGGTGTGGCGGGTCGCCCACCCGAAATGGGTTGAGTTTCAGTTTCGTGGAGGGCGCAAGAACACTCCAGGCCTGGGAACACCGATTCTGGCAGCAGAGGCTCACCACGGCCGTCTTTGAGTTTGCACGAGCTGTTCTCCTTCATAAGGGTTTAGGGTTTCGGGTTTCGGGTTTCAGGGTGCGTCTATTTTCGGTTTCAGCGGTTTGAACTCAAGGCCTACGGTGCGAAAAGAACACCCTGTCTCAGGAGTTGGAAAAGGGGAGTGATTAGTTATGGCGCTCAGACCTACGACATGACCTCGGCTGTACATCTAGAACGTCTAAAGACAAGGTATACTTCACACCCGTTTTATCTCCCAATCATGTCGTGAGAACGCTACGGAAACAAGCAACTAAGTCTTTCACCTTACCGTGAAGTTTCATAGTCTTCGCACTTCTGCGGAATGTAAGAAGGAGTAAGAAATCGCATTGGACTCATAAGGAATAGAAATATCCGTAGCCATCGCAACATTACCCGTGGCCGCCATTGTAAACAAACGCGCGGGCTTGAAGGTGCGGGTTGAAGGCGCGGTGTTGATTGGGTTTCCACCACTCATGGGTTGGAGGGTTCTTGTTCTCGCACGATGGTGACACTCATCCAAGAACGATGAGATAGATAATTGAAAGTGAAATCTCCAGATGAACACGTCATCAATGTAACACAACGAACATTCCATGACTGGCTCATCGATCCAGGAGGGAACTAGGGTATGTATATATATATACAAGCCTTTAAAGGGTGTACATATATATATAATCCCTTAAAAAGGTTTCTACAGGATCCATACCCTACAAAGAACCTCGAGGTCAAAAGCCTGACAGGGCTCCCAACTGGCGAGGCTTGAGCGTTTAGTTCTCATAAATTCAGGTAAGTCCTACGCCACGCAACCCAAGGGCTACGGATGCGAAACAAGGGTGCGATGATGCAAAGGGGGGAAAGACACTAACCTGCATATTAGCTCTTGCACCCATTTGTTTCGGCTTGCCGGAAGTGTCTGTCGGCTGCATTCAAATCCGATCGGCCTTTGGCCAAGGACGGATTATTCCAAGACTGAAAAGCTGAAACGTGAAACACCTTCAAACACTTGCAAAACTCTCGGCTGCACTGCCCTCCTACCAAAACACTTCCAAGCAAGGAAAAACAGGTCCAAACCAAGGCACTCGGGACATGGCTTAAACGGGCAAAACTGGTCAAACCTCACGGCGTTCAAGGAAGACGAAAACACTTCCTAGGCTCTGCAAGCCGAGGCGGCCTACTTCCTACACCACTTCGCAAGCGAGTCCTCAGGGAAAAACTTAAAGGACGCTGCAGCCCAAGGCCCACATGGAACCTTTGGTTTCTTACTCTCCCTCTGGGCATTGAGGCTGCCTGTCGCAGTGTAAGCAAAGGTAACGAGGTAGCCAACAACTACCCCAACAGCCAAGAAACAAAGACAAAGCAGTTGTGGCTCGAGTAGTTCGCCACCCAACCGCTGCGCGTTCCACTTTACACCCTTGGCTCAGGCGTGCCAACGGCTGCAGAGCAGACACAGTCTTTTACAAACTGCTCGCACAACCCTACACATAGCTTCAGGATAATTTTGGGTTTCTTTGAGAACAAAGACCTTGGAATGCGGATGCAGATGGTCGCACTTAAGCCCTTCGAGACCCTTTGCAACCCCTGCATGCGTAGTCACCACCCTCCAACGTTTACAGGGGAGGCCCACGCGCGCGAAGCCAGAATTGCTTAGATTTTTCGACCCAGATTTGGAGTCGCGCAAACTGGCCACTTTGCAAACATGTATACGCGATATTGCAAGGCCTCTGAGGCCTCACCCCTCGAGCATTCGAAGCCTTTCGAGGCCTGTTGAGGCCTCCCGAGGCCTTACTCCGATAAAATCCCGAAACTCCTTTAGCTTGCAAGATTTCGAGGCCTTGGGGACCCGGCACGACGGACCTCGAAGGCGTCTCGACCGCTTAGGATGATCCTGCAAGCTATTCTTGCTGCCGCAAGTTTTAATTTCAGACTTCTCGATGGGCCTCAAAGGAGGCTTCGATGATCCTGAGATTGCATGAGAAAGTTCTAAAAGGCCCTCTGCATAACATTGCAAGCTAATGGTTGGTCTCCAGCGGGCAAGCAAAGTGTATCGCGCCCTTCAACTGGAGGAGGCTTCAAACCGGCCTCGAGAAGCTTCGAAACCTTCGGCAAAGTCTCAGACTCAAAGATGATTTTACATGCAAGCCGAGTGAACGCTCCCAACCATTTAAACATCAACAACGCCCTTCAAGAAGACAAACTGACGTTTACAAGGCTTTCGCTGGGGGCGTCGGGGAACCATGGTTTTCACGATGGACAATGGTACTGCAATGGATACGTCTGTACTACAAAAGTCGACTTTCCAGCCACGGAAGCTCTGCGTGTGCGGAATGCCTTCTTCTTCATCCAGAACATCCAAAATCGGACATTGCCCCAACATGTGACATTTGATTGCTTCCCATGGAGAGACGAGTCGAGCGCAGAACTGGTTGCCTTCCCTCCACATTGACATCACTGTTTCCTGCTCCACTGCATGGTTGGCATTTGCAATGGTTTTGGAACCAGCAAATTCGGGACCAAGTGTCTGTAATGCTTTTGGAACCAGCGAACTCGTCACAGCCTCAGGACGTAAGAGTCGGGGAAGCCTTCGGCGGTGAGCCTTCCTCACTCGAGAAAAGCTTGTTCACGCTCGAGCTCAGCTTACCTCCTTTCTTCTGGATCATCCAAATCAAAAATAGCCTCCTCTGGCTCTCAACTGAGTCCGAGCCATCGGCTAACTCTTCCCCAAACCGGATCTTTGGGTGCCTCAAGGGGTCGGAGGCTCCTTCAAGCTTCCCTTCGCACCTGGCTGAGTAGGTGGAGAAATCCTCCATCCGAGGAGCGCTCCTCTACGTGTCCCAGATCACGTAGTAGCAGTCAAAACTACGCGAGGAAATCCCCAAGCATTGCACACCGATGGTGAACTTCCGGTCTCCACCAGCTCCATTGGTCTGGCATCTGAACCGGACGCACCTGTGCCGGAGCTGGGCGCTCCCTGTGCCTTTGCTGTTGTACCAGCCAGGTCGGTCACACTGTGCACATTCCGTCGTTCCCGGACGGGACGACGCCATCGTCACCGCTAGAGTCGCTGTCGTTCATATCGCGAAGTAGGCCCGGCCCTTGCTGGGTCCGACGCCTTTTCTTTTTTTCACTCGCTGGGTTGGAAGCTTGCATTCGGGGTCTCCAGCCCAATGTCCTGTCCCGCCGCACGTAGACACTGGACTTGACGCTCTCAGCTTGTCGCGCCTTCGTCAAGCTGGTTGTACTAAGTTTTCCTTTCAGGAAAGCACAGCCGACTACTTTGGGGGGCCAGACGTGCGTTGCCAGAAATTCATGGTTGCAGGCACCCCCAATTCTGGTCCCCAAACTTGCTCCATTTCGTACTTTTGGAGACTGCATTGAGAGAACCAACACACACGACACAGAGACACACGATACAGGACAACCGACGACCGCAAGGACCGACGGACTCACAAAGAAACATGCCAAATCACCAATCGAGTTGAACTAAAGGAAGGCCAAAATGCCAAAAAAACCTCATGGACCCAAGACCAACTGAGGATCAAGACCGATTCAACTCAAATGATAAGAAACAAACCAGGGGACCCAATCGACCAGAAGCTGAGGGACCACCACAACTCACAACAAGGGAAAAGGACAGACTGAGCTCAAAGGACTGAATCCAAAGCACAACAACTTCGAATCTGTTGGAACAGATCCGACCAGCAACATCTAAGGAACATGGACACAAACATGAAACAGACAACAAACGCAGAGAGAGAACAAACAGGAGATTAAAAGCAAAACACGAAAAAACAACCAACAATCAACAGACCCAAGCTCCAGGACCCAAGATCGGACACTTGGAAGACCAAGATGTGTGTTGTGGTTTTTCGACGTTTTGGCAGGAGTCGTGTGTGTCATGGAGTGTGTCCATCAGCAGCTGAATGGGACAAGGCAAGACTCAGAGTAAGGATAAAATCAGCACCAAGACCTTGAAAAAGACTTAGAACCAACAGGACCGATCCAGCGACTCTGGAGACTCAGGGACTCCAAAAGAAATTTTGAACCAAAAGAGTCTCAAGGACCACTTTAATAACCTGACTTTTGAACCAAGGGGGGGCGTCTTAACACCAGGGTGTTTTGCACCATTTTAAGTCCAGATCGAGCTCAAAGGTGTCTCAACACTACTTGGGCAGAAAACCCAAAACCAGGTGTGTCTTATGAATCGACTTTGAACCATGGAGTGTCTCGCTTGCAGAGAGATCCCAAGAAATGCAGATGCTTTTTGAGCTTGCCAGAAAGTTGCAATCGTTGGTCTGAAAAAAGGAACCTTGAAATTATTCATCAAAAAAAGT